AGAAATTGCTTTAAAAAAAAAAAAAAAAAAAAAAAAAAAACTCAATTAAAAAGTAAACTGCAATTGAGTAAAAAGGCATAACTACATATATTTTTAATGTATTAACAATATTAATGAATTAATGCATAAATACATGCAAAAACTATTTTTAAAATGTGATTTAACAACAAATGTAAAAGACAAAAAATGGACAACTCGTGTAAAAAGCAATATAATATAATATAATATATATATATATATATATATATAGAAATAATACTTGCGGTTTACAATTTGTTTTTAATATGCAAATATATGCATGTTTTATTAAAAACAAAAAAGGGCTTGTCTCTTCTTCATGTTTGCATTGATTGTAAAGCTCATTTTTTAGCTTAAGATGTCACACTGAAAGCCTTATAATTTACTACATATAATTACTGAAGTGTCCTAATGTAATTCACTCAATTAGTGACTGCAAAACCAATATAACAAACATAGCAATGCATACCAGATCACCGTTTCAACTGGCAAATCACCCAGCCAGCCAAACTCACACACAACTACACACAGAGCAACAGTCAGCCTGCAATTATCACAAAAATATCCGAAAAGAGAGTAGCATCCTGCAGGAAATTACGCACACATACGAGAAACAGGAAGCGTTCAGAGTAGTTACCCACAATCAGGTGCGTAGCTACGTGGTGGCCATAATTAAAGCTTGGCCACCCCTGCTGCGCAAGCATTTTGACTGCATTAACATGACTTTTCTCCGCTCAAATATACGACACTGGCACAAAGGCCACATGCACCCTCTAAATGAACCAAGTTGTCACTTCACCTCTTAATTTGAAGCAAATAAGCTCAAAGATGCATATAAGTGGACATGGTAACACTGCAAGAGCGCGCTTAGCGAAGCAGCTTTACGAGCACAGACAAAAACACAGAGCAAGACTCAAGCTCAAAGATCAAACATGTTTACAAACAAGGTTTAGCGCAACAAAATTAACATATTTCACGGTTATACACGCTCTCTCACAGGTGGGGTGAGTGGGGCAAAAACTAACGCGAGTTTTCTTCCCATTCAGGATTTCTATATTTTATCCATTCAATGGCCTACGCAAGCAATCCGACTTCCGTACATAACGTAGCGGGATATTTGTCTATGCTTAGCTGTGCAATGTCGGCTTTTGTGATTGACCGTAAACCTCGTGATGAATTGAGATAAGTGACAGCTTTTTATTGATTATAAAGGTTCTTTCACCCTACAGAAATCGCTGGGTCTTACCTGGACACCCCTGAAAAAAAAAAAAGTTCTGGCTATGCCCCTGCCCACAATCCTTTTTTTTTTTTTCTTTTTACAGCCCTTCTGAAATATAATTCTGTTAGCATGCTTCTGGGTTCACTTCACATCAGCACAGTGTCACTTTCATACACAAATCCTGACACTACAGTGTGCATCACCTGGAGTCAGATGGGACGAAACCAGGTTGGACAGAATCAGACAAGCTGCAGACACAGAGAGAGTGTAGAATGAGACACACACACACACACACAGTTGAATGAGACAACCAAACACACAACATTCACACACAAACACAAGAGAGATACAAAAACATGCCCAGGCCAAAATAAGAATTTTTTTTTTTTTTACAAATTTTAGGATCATGAAGATGTTTTGCATCATTTAGCGATGAGTTCTCTTAAGATTTTGAGCTTAAATATGACCTGGAGATGTTCTAGACAAGTTGTGTACAAAATGAAGAAGAAAAGAAACATTTACGTCCATACACACAGACTGAGACGTACCCAAAGATATTAGAGATGGAATCCAGCAGCCCAGCAGGAGGAGGTGGCTGAGACACTCGTCTGCTGAGAAACACACACACACACACACACACACACACACACACAGTTAGCGACTGCATTCAGTAAAGAGCATGTGTGGTGAGGTCTGTAACTCTGAGTGTTTACCTGAGTGTGCGACTGATCTGTCTGCTCGGTGACGTCTCACCCGTTCCCTTCCCAGCATCCTCTGTGAGAACTTCGATGTCATCATCTCTAAACCAACCAGAAAACAGCAGCCAGTGAGATTTCAGAATATTTTAACATGATTCCAAACAGTTGTAGAAACTAACCAGGGCTTAAATTAAACGAAATTATCTTAAATTTAGAAGACATTAAATAATTAGACATAAAAGGATGATACATTTACAATATGCCCTCATAAAAAGTAAAAGCTAACCCCCATCAAATCAAATGAAAAAATATTAGTGGGAACGATAATACCTATGCCAGTTTTTTACTACTGGACCTGTTATTGTTAATAGAAATTGATAATTGAAAAAAAATATTAGATTGATATTTAATCTAATATTAGTCTAAATAAATCTAATAGTTTAATAAATAAGTTTAAGTACTGAAAATGAAAATGTGCTAAAAATGTAAAAAAATTAAGAAATATATAGGTACTAGCTAATTAAAAATAAGCCAAAAACAAATAAAAGTGATCAAATTTCAAAAGCTTAAACTGAAATGAAAATTAGAAATGCTGCTTTGTAAACTAACTTAAAAGTACTAAAATTAAAACTGAAATAAAAAAGAATTATACAGCTAAAAGCCAATCTGAAATATTTTAAAAAGGAAAAACAAACAACTAAAACTGAACAGTATATAAACAACACTGTACTTTTACAACAGAAATTTCCATCATTGTAAATCAAAATGTTAAAATTGCCTGATAGCTGCAGGTTTTCCAACGACAGACCTTGAATTTAACAACCTACGTTGTCTAAAACCTCAAACGAACTCGCTGAACCCAGAAGAAATGCTTCTAAACACAAACTTACGGCTCTATGGGAAGAGGTTCCTTCGCTGCGTCCGCCAATTCCTTCTGAAGCTTCGCCTGTCTGCGCCTACGATGACATCAATGAGTTAAACACAGTTTACACACTCACTTAACCTCTAATGAACCTCCCAGCCTGTTTCAAACAACCAATCAGGAGAAGAATTATAATGCGCTCATTTCTGCATGGAGGGTCAGGAAACGAGTGCCTTTTTTCAGCATAGATGGTCAGAAAGTGATGGGTGGCGGCCAATCATGCATTTCCATTGTTTTTAAACGAGCCTTAACGACTGATAATTAATCAGCAAGTGTTAGGCTCACACACATATGAGCCGTTAATGACTCCCATATATGGGTCGTTTACAAACATGACGAACTTTGATTGTTTTAAAGTTAAAGCTTGTGCAAAAGAAAGGGTATTTTATTGACACAAACAGTCCACTATCAAGATTTTAGGTAAAAACGTGAGTTAAACAGAGTGTGTTTCTGACCTGGAGTCCTTCTCGTTCTCAGCGTTGAGTTTGTTGGCCTCCTGCGCTTTCTCGGCCATCCAGCGTGTCACCAGCTCCTGATTGTCCTCTGTGGTTTTCCGTAGTTTCTCCTCCAGGGCACTGAACGTGATCTGCAGGGCATCGTACTCGTCTCGCAGCGTCTGATTGGCTCGTTCCAGATCGGCCAGAGAGTTGCGCAGCTCGTGACACTCTCCTTCCAGATGAGAGATCTGCTGCTGATACTCTAACATCCTGACCAAACACACACATGAAATATTCACATACTTCGGACATAAACCGCATACATAAAGCACATACACACACTGAACTCACTTGGCTTCATTACTCTGGATCTCTTTGTCTTTCTGCTGAATCTGGTTGTTTAGTTCAATCACGCTCTGGGCCAACTGCAAAAACACATAAAGAGAAGAGATTTTCATTGGCATGTTTTCCCACCAACATTATTCATATTATGTTCATATTTTGAATTAAATTTTATTTTTATATTTTCTGTTTTCAATTTAATTTGAGTTAACGTTTGAGTAATTTTGTGTTTTTTTGTCATTTTTATTAGTTTTTGTTTTAAATAAAGACGAATAAAGCTAAATACAAATATTAAAAACAAAAACTAGTAATAATGACAAAAGCACAGAAAACTGAATTTTTGAAAAATAAACTACAATTAAAATTAAACCTAATTAAAGACATTAATGTATATTATAATAGCATATAAATAATACTAAAATAACAGTTGTCAATTGCTTTTACAGTTAATAGTTTTTGAAAATATTTTAAACATTTTGTTTTCACATTAATTCTGGTTAAAGTCTTAGCAATTTTGTCATGTATTTGTCATTTTATTAGTGTTTTCAAAAATATGCCTATATATTTATTTATTTTAGTACTTCAAGGTAAACCATACGAAAACAAAAATCTAAATTTTATTTAGTTAAAGTTTATTTTATTTTAAGTGTTTTTTATGCTTCTGGTTTTTGTAAATCATAATAACACAGATTTGTTTTTAAAATAAAAATACAAGAATAATCTGAATCATTTTCATTTATATACATATAATACACAGCAATGCTTACCTAAATCTGCTTTTACAAAAACAATTAAATATACAAAAAAGGACATTTCTGAGTGATGAATAATTAAATCTTGATTTAATGAAATGACCAGTTAGAACTGATTCTAATGCTATTATTGCTTTTGAAGTTTATCTGAACTCTCTCATGAATGTAAAACTTGTGGAATGACTTGGAAGGGTCGAGCTTCTGAATTCTGAAAAGGCTGATATGTAAATGTAGGCACTGTGATGTAAATGTGTGTAAGCGCTGTGGTAACAGTGAGGGTTTATGTTCACCTCTCCTCGTTTCTTGTGCAGCTCCGTCAGCTCCTCTTGATGTTTAATTCTCATCTGAGCCATTTCTTGCTGCAGGGACTCAATGCGACCGCCCTCGACGCCCGGACTAAACACACACACAGATCATTTTACTTTCTTGTATTCATGATGCCATAATTCATAATTGGTTTCCTCTTCACGTAATGCTCTTCTCTCGACACGTTATCTCCTCTCTTTAAAGGTGGGGTAAGTGATTTCTGGTAGACATGTTGACATTTGAAATCACCAAAACAAACAGTCCAGTGTACTAGACAGACTTTAGCTGTTGCGGCGCAGACACTGTGTTACTCACCTATCGAGAAGAAACAAAGCAACCTCGGCGTCCGATCGCAGGCCTTCCGCTCCTTGAGTTCTCTCCAGCGCTGGAAAGCTGATCCGATATTTACACGGGTCCTACTTCTTGCCTGAAGCATTTTTTTGTTCCGCAGACGTTTTCCTCTTTTGTTTTTATCCGCCATCTCTATCTTTCTGTCGCTCGGCTCAGACTGAATGCTCTCTCCTCCACATCATGAGTAGACACGCCCCTTACTGCTGATTGGCTACAAGTTTGTTTTGCTATTCGGCCCGAATCACTTTTCTAAAGCGTTTTTGAAAAATCACTTACCCCACCTTTAATGTTAAAACGGATTAGAAAAGATGTCACTAAACTCAATATTTCAGGCACAGAGCTCTATATTACGTGGTTTGAGTCAGAACTGATGGAGAAAGTTTTCCCATGAGCACCTGAGGTCGTGTCTGTTCTGTTGCTCATATTTCTCGGTCTGGAGACGTTCAGAAAAAACAACCTGAAGATCAGACTTCTCCAACAACCGGTTATCTGGAGACAAAGAGAAATAGAGGAATTGTGTATTGAAATAATATCAGACAAGACATTATATTATATATATATATATATATATATATATATATTTGTTATTTTTCGTTTAGGTCATCAGAAAACACATATTGGTGGAAGACTATAAAACAAACATTTATGTCATACATTCACAGTATGTCCACAAATATTTAATTGCATTAATGTTTTGGAATATTAAATTATTTAAATATTTAACAGTAAAAAATTAGATTTTTGATCCAAATAAATTAAATCCAATATTCTTTCAGATTTTGTTCATCTTTAAAAGAATGACCTCAGATTTACCATAATGAAGCAGAAAACAATCTCAATAAACTAAAATAATATAACAACAAAATAAAACCATTTACTATTACTACTACTACTAATAATTAATCCCATCTCACACAACAATAATGGTGCGTTCAAGTCATGTCGGATAGATCGTATTTACGAGCTGCACGCACATGAACGCCACCACAAAGTCGTTGTTACGAGTGGGAAACTCGAAATTTTCTTTAAGCACCGAGTTTCCGAGTTGGGGGCGTGTCAGCGAAAAATCGTGTGGGATGCAATGGACGCAGCCAAAGACTATAGCAGCGTCTGTATTGACGGTAAATTTGTTGAAATGAAATGATACATTTTTTGCAATGTAAAATTAAATCTATATAAGTTACATATACAAAATATTATATTATTGTATAATTATATATAAATATATAGAATATATAATGATTCAGTTTATCGCCTTCATAAATTGAATAAAAACAGAAAAATCACAAAACACAATCCTCATTTTGCAGATGTACTAGAGTTAAAAAAATCTTTGAATTTTATGTAGGAAAGTTAAATCGTCATCTTGTTCAGACCAAAGTGACTTGAACGCACCTGACGTCGTTATTACGACTTGTCAACTCGTAAGTACGAACTTCCCATGAGGACTTGAACGCAGCATAACCAACTAATTAAACAAAGAAAAAAAACAAAGAAAACAAACAAATAACTAAATAAACGTGCATGTGTCTTACACTGGTGTATGATTTCCTCGAAGGCCTGACGCTGAACTCTGTCTCTCTGCTTCAGCTGCTCGACAACATGACGTTTCCACAAACACTCGACTCTACGGCCCGCCATCTCCTCCTGCACACACACACACACAGACACACACACACACACACACACACACACACACACACACACACACACACACACACACAGAGTTAACTGTATTGACACGGTTAATAATCCAGTGAACCTGTTTCCCAAAGCAGCCCTCTAGGAACACCTTGGCAAATGAATCCCCATTGGCTAGTAAATTTTTTTGTTTACTCGCCAGACTGATAAATAGTTTACGGTACGTTAAATACAGGTGCGTTGCACATCCATTGAGATGAACTGAAAAACAGCACAGATCGCTTGACGGAGAGTGAAACTCTGAAGCGCTCAGTCAGAGAGTGTTCTGTGAGTGAAAATATATCTGAGCTAAACTTAATACTTAGCCTCCAACTCACACACTGGAGAGTAAACTCTGAGAATTTATTAGCCAGTGGCTAATATTAGACATCATTTAGTCGCCCAGAGTAAGATTTAGTCGCATATGCGAGTGATTTACGCGCAATGTAGAGGGTTGCAAAGCAAATACAATTAACCAAGAGTAGAGTGTTTTCTTAATTCAGGGCACGTTCAGGCCACGGGGAAAAGAGGAACATCTCTCCTCAACACAGGAGGAAGTGACTCAAGATCAAACACAAGAAAACGACATTTTTTAAATGAAATTAATGAAACGCACTGCTCCTAGATAATTACTGTAAACTATATGGAAAAACCAGGCTACTTTTATTAATACCTGACAGATCACTAATGCACATTCAAATTACATATTTGTATATTTTAATGCACATTTGTATTAATGATCTGCCTTCAGAGCAGAATGAATTTATCACACGTGATTGATCAGATATTAGTGTCAATCAATAATAATCAATAACACAGGGTTTACATGAATCATATTATGAGATATGCTTTGTCATTCCAGCTGCAGGGTGGAAATAAACCAATCAAAGACATTTAAGACTGATGACACATAAAACATGTTTCAAACAGGTTAAATGTTACATATAAACAATAATTCGGCCAAAAAACCTGCCAGATCTCAGACAGATGTGATGTGAGCAGATCAAACTGATCGTTTGTGACAGTTACTAACAAGAACGCATTAAATAAACAGCACAATGTGTAATCTGATTATAAACAGTGCCGTTATTAATAAATAATCGGTTGTTGTTGCGGTTTTTACTTATTTTACTGCGACTTATCAGATCTGCACCGGCTAATCGCTGCACTTGACTTTCACTTTCGATAAACAGCAGGTTTACTTTACCTCACAGCATCTAGACGCGTCTCCGCTAGTTTAGACGGACTCTTCTTAATGAAAAAAAAAGATCAATCCGAATAATAACAGCCGAACCGTGTCATAATAGGTTTAATCGAACAGGTTTCATGCTAACCCACTCCAGACTGAAGGATCACGGACGCCATTTTGGCTCAACAGACGTCTGTTTCCTGCTGCGCCGTCGCGGGAGATTTACGTCACGACCGCGTGCTTCCCACGTTTTCCCTTCAAAAACAAAAAGCCTGCATGACTCATGAATTTAAAAAATGAAAAATGAAAAGAACAAATACATAATATAGAGAGGGTAACCATGATAAAATATAACATTTAGTTAATTAAAAAAATCAATGATATTTTTTAGCTTTAAAGATTTATGTATTGAGATTTCAACTGGAAAATAGAGTTACAAAACATAGAGTTCTATAAAAAATATTTGAAAAAAAAACAAACTGAACTGTAGGCCTATTTTCAATCTCTAATAATCCTGTATCACAATCCATAAGCAAGAACATTATATCAGTTATTTGAATACGTTTGTTAAAAAAAAAACTCTTAAAAACAACAACAAAAAATGTATATAAGTAGTATTTTCAGGATAATATGGTGAGCAAATTATAATTAGGCTATTTGGAAGCGTTTTATATACATTTCTTTATATAAGTCATAAGGTTAATATTTCAAACAGTCACAAATGCTGTTCCCATTTTGCATTTTGGTTAAAATAATAGATTTATCATCTGTTTTTTATTGCCTGATATGTTTGCATTTTCAAGAAATATCAAGATAAGGTTTAGAAATGTATTGTTTTATGAAACTTTATTGTCATATCCAATTCAATCCAGCCGAAGGGACAAAGTCAATTATTTTAACAGGTTGTTGTCAAAGGAATCAAGCACACGCTTTACACACTGTTTTCAATAAAACTGAAAATGAAAGAAATCTCTGGGATTTGGCTGATAACTGCAGTAAAACATGAAAAAAAACTTTGCACGATTGCAAAAACGTCACAGAATTGCTTTATTCACAGAAACAATGACAAAACACACATACTAGCAATTTCAGAAAACAATGAGCTTTTCAAAACACCAGAACAGACCATGTAACATTTATATAACATACTAAATTGATCCATAGCATGAAAATTTACATGACATACAGAATTGATGTGATGGTGTAAAGCAATATTATTAAGATACTGTTACAGTTTTTATTCATATTTTGAATTAGTTAAAATTTTAGTTAAAGTTTTAGTAATTTTGTTGTGTCTTTTTGTCATTTGTATTAGTTTCTATAGTTTTTATACCTTTTTATTTCCGTTTTAGTTTTAGTTAAGTACATCAAGATAAACTAAATGAAAATGAGAAATATTGCCTTGGCAACTAGCTGAAATAAAATAAGTTACAGGCAAAATATTTTATTTCAGTTTTTTCAAAGATCTTGGCTTTAGTTTTAGTTCACTATAATAACTCCACCGTAAAGTGAGTGTTTCGTACCAGAATCGAGTCAAAGCTGATATTTTACATGCAGTGAATTATAGATCAGCTGGTTGAAACTTGAAAACTGAAGTCTTTTCATATAAGCTGAGAAAGTTATATACATTTTTAATGCAAGATTATGAAATAATGAACTCATTACGAAATCAACGCTGATGAATCGTGCACATTCAGTCAATGAAATAAGCTCAATTTGTTCGACTTCTAAAATGCAAGTACTAAAAAATACACATTTCCATGTACAAAAAAATGAAAGCTAAAATGAGAGGCTCAGACATAAGCTTTAGAGGTGCTGTTTTCTGACGCCGGCGCTGATCTGTAGATCTTCTGCGGCTGTGAAGAGCTGTAGTTATAGTCGTGACCCCTGAGAAAGAGAGAGAATAAAGAAAGTCATGACTCGTTGTTGTTGTGTTCATCACAGATGAGTTTCAGAGCTGTGATCCATCTCTGGTAAGAGACTCACCGTGTTTTGGCAGGTCTAGAACTCTTGAAGGAAGTGCAGAGGATTCCTCCGCCCAATATAGCCAGAGCTGCAGCTGCCCATCCCAGATACAGACCGGCGCCCAGTTCATACCTGAAACATCCGCATGTGAGCGTGTTTATTGGCATTTACAAGATAATCCAAGCCCAAAAGTGTGTTTTAACCCTATAAAACCTTCTAAATCATATTCATCCAAGGCCTGTAAATGATCAAACTTTGCTGTTTGACACAATCAACTCCATGCCTTCTGAGTTTTTTTATCACGTAAAAGCTCTTTTAGTGTAATTGTACTTCACGTGTCTTTCTGCTGTCAAATCTTGACTGATTTTTATCAAGTAAACGTCAGAATAACTGCAGTCATATCTCCAGATGAACACTTTCTGGACTGAAGCAGCTCAGCTTTACTTGATTCTCCATCAATCATTTTTTAGAGTCTCAAATCTGATCTTCAGGATCTTTTGAGGAGCGTTTGTTTCCAGAAGCTTTACTTTCACTGTTCCTCAGCGGAGGAATGATCTTCACAAGCCTCCAGAACATCTCACATCTTCTGAGGAGCGGTTATTTCTTCATCTCTCAATCAGCATTGGATTGCATCGCATTATATGTTTGGATTATTTCAATCTAATTTTACTAAGACATGTTATTGAAGATATAGAGTGACCAATGATATTTAGATCATTTTATGTAAGTATCTGCTATACTGTTATAAAGATCTCATTGATTTACATTACAAGCATCATATAAATCAGCATCTGCACCAAAACTGAATAAAGCTGAGCTGTTTTCTCACTATATCAGACTATATGAGCCATAAAAGCCTGATGGATCAAATATGATAGTCATCAGAAACACATACGCACACTCTTTTTAAATATTTTGTCTGAAGGTTCAATAAACTCTTCAACTTCAAAACCATTTTTATACTGTTATTATATGTCAGACTTTACAGGGTTAAATCTATTATTTCATCTTTTACTCACTTTGTTCCTCCGTAAAAAGGATTATTAAACTCCTGAACGACTCGAGCGGCGTACCACGACACAGCTACCATAACACACAGACCTGAGAGAGAGAACAGGCAGAACATGTGAATATGTTTGATCATTCAGTCAGAGTGTGTGTTATTATACTGACCCGACAGGATGAACATGACTCCGGCTGTGAGGCTGATCTTGCCCTTCGACTCCTCAGATGTGCTGCCCAGTTTAGTGCACTTGAGTCCCATCGCAGCTAGAATGACAGCCAGCAGACCCAGAATGAGAGCGATTATCATCAGAGCTCGACAGGCCTGGATGTATCCTACAAACACACACACACACACACAGCAATTACATCAGAAACACATTCCATATGCTTCAGTAATTAACCTGCAAACATACAAATGACTAAGAGTGCATGCACCATGGGAGTATCAATTATGGTAGTAATAAAGTTTGTTGTACATGCATATGATATTTGAACATTAAGGCAATAGCATGGTATTCTCTCATAAAAAAGATAAAAACTGCTTTTAAAAGGTACTAATAAGCACACTTGAGGTACTAATATGTACTTTTAAAATACAAATGTACCCATTAAGGTACAAATATGTACCATTTAGAGGAAAATAAGGTACAAAAGCATACCCTTTAGCTTTTTGTACCTTTTTTCTGAGAATGCAAAATTAATATCAAAGTACCATACTATTAAGTCCAGGTCATATTTCACCCCAAAAGCAAAAAAATATATATATAATTTATAATTAATTAATTATATTTTGCATGAAAGTAAAGCCTGTTCTTGAGACCATTGTGATTATTTTAATTCTGACATTGCTTTTTTTAATTTAAATTAATTATATTAAACTAAGTATTTAATTGTCATTATTGAACTGCATTTCATTTATTCTGATTTAAAAAGTTTTTTTTTTTAATTGTGTTGAAAATAATGTCAAAAATGCAAAATATAATTGCTTACACTTTTCTTCAATTTTGAAGCACACTTTCATTCAAAAGTTTGGGGTCAGAAATAATACTTTTATTCATTAAGGACGCATTAAATTGCTTAGAAGTGACAGTAAAGACATTTATAATATGACAAATGATTTCTATTTCAAATAAATGCTGTTCTTTTGAACTTTCTATTCATCAAAGAATCCTCAAAAATAAAATGTATCACAGTTTCCACTAAAATATGAACTGTGTTCAGCATTGATAATAATCAGAAATGTTTCTTGAGCAGCAAATCAGCATCTTAAAATTATTTCTGAAGATCATGTGACACTGAAGACTTGGCGTAATGATGCTGAAAATACAGCTTTGATCACAGAAATAAATTACATTTTACAATATATACACATAGATAACAGCTGTTTTAAATTATAATAATATTTCACTATTTTTACTGTATTTTGGTGACACAAAAATATAAAAAATCTGACCCAAAACTAATGAAAGATGAATTCAAGTAACATGGTAATGATACAGTCCTACAGTAAATATCAAAAGCTAAAGAAATACAAAATTGTATAGTGCACGAAATGAAGCCTATTCTTAATTTTTATTTTATTTTTTAATTTAAGATAAATTTTACAAAATTAAATATTTTTGCCATGATGATATGTGACCCTCTCTGTGAAATCCAGGCTAAAGTCTCAAAATCTAATTATGAGATAACAAGCATCAAAGTTTGATTTCAACCATTAATTTCACTATGATTTCAATCTTTGACGTGGCCTTACTCAGTCAATATTAAAGATATAAAGGTTATATTTTCACAGAATGTTGTATAAAGGATGATTTGGATGACAAAAAAATTACTTTAGCTGGGTTTTCACAGGCAGTGTCACATATTTGTAAATAATCATTTTAAATATAATTTTTTTCATTGTAAGTTTGTTAAAAATTGCCAACGATGTTGAAACTGACAAATCACACGAGCACTTATCCCCTCAATCCATTTTTCCTATTCAAAATGAACCGCACAAACTCTAGTTAGTGTGAGTTACCAGACAGAGACAGCATGGACTCAAACTGCTTGCAGTTTCTGACGCCGGTGCTTCCCTCGGCACACGACTGCCACAGGTTCACATAGTACCACACAGACGTGATCACCTGATCCGCAAACGTCGATGTGCGCCACGAATCATTCAACAACGACACGAAGGAGAGCAGCCAGCCTCCCAAACACATCAAGAACCCCAGCAGCTGAACTCCCGTCGACATGATCAACTAACACGGCTCAAATCCACACAGTATCCACTAAACTAAAGAATCCACAACAGACTTCACACCGACCTGAGCGCCGTACCAGGATGGGACTGTGTTTGACTGTGTCAGTGTGTTATAAGAGTCATAAAACCATAAACTCTGGTCCCTCCTGTATGGCGTTCACTAGAGAACACCGTGGAAGTCAATACAGGAAGAGACATGTGACTCAATAGAGAAACGTTTGAATTTGACCTCCAAAACAGCCTCTAAAACCCTTGACCTTTAATGAGGTCAAACTGGGGTCGAGGTGCATGTGGCTTTAAGAATGAGAACGTCAAACTAAATAAACAGTCACCGTCTGATTCTAAATGAACTAGATTTTGTGTGTGCCTGAACACATTTGATATAAAGCAGAGCTGAAACAAGGGTCAGTTTTAACTAGAGTTTATCAAGATGAACTTTGAATGATGGCTTAAAGTCTTGCCTAAACGTTTAAAGGTCCCATATTTTACACCTTTCTGGAGTTTTATTTTAAGTCTTGATGTCCTTAAGAATATATATTTGCGGTATAAGTACCAAAAACCATCTCAATATATTTTTACAGCTCCTCTCTCAGGAGCTCTGCTGAGAACAGGTCAATTTTGGTCTGTCTAATTAATATTCATGAGCCTCTCTTCTGATTGGCCTGTTGTTTTCTGAATGACGCACGACCAGGCCAACCACAGGTAACTAGGGTCAGCGACGTCACAGCGCTAGCTGGAGGCAGCAAAACAAAGGGGAAACTGGAGGCGGCCCATTCAAACCAGCGCAGATTCGTCTACATAAGGAGCTTAAAATATCATCTTGTTGTGATGTTGGGTGCCAGAATCGACGTAATACAGCCTCTAATTAGACATTTGATCGCATTGCCAGACAAAAAACCAACGACAGCTGTGGTTAAACGCAATAAAACGAGCAGACTGGACAGA